CGTCGTGGCCCACGTCAATCCCGCGCATTCGGCACCAGCCCGTCGGGCCGCCCAACTCCTACTCTATTCACCTCTTACTTTGCTCGTGTGCTGATCCTTCCTGATCGCGCAACCCCGAGCTTCCAACAACAGGTCAAGAGAGCTGACTAATCACGCAGCCGAAATTTATAGCGTGCATGCATGTGTGAAGAACGCGGAATTACCAGGACTTAGAGTGAGGATTAGAAAGGGAACGCTTGCGTTCTACATGATCGGCCGAGGCGTGGGGGACGTAACCCTTCTCCACGCATCGATCCGAGCATGCAAGCCGCGGCTTACAAAACTTCAGCAAAAGAAAGAGAGGGAGGGCGAGAGAGACGAAGTGCAAGAGGAAAGATACAGTTACAATGGCGCCCTCTGCCCAAAATTGCAGTCACACACACGATTAAGGGCGCCCACTAATCAGAGTACCGTTGCAGCCGCATGAAAAAGCGCGTAGACAAAAGGCGCAGCGCGGCAGACAAAGTCTTAATTACTGAATTCCTAAATTCCTATCTAGTGCGGAAAAGTAAAAAGCAAACATTCCAGAAAGAAAGTCCAAAATCCCGAGAGCCATCGGGGCTCGACAAAATTCGAAAAAGATTCAAAAGGAAATTCAAAAAGAACGAAACAATTTCCCGCGCGATGTCCGCGCCCAAAAGATTGAACTCGAAACGAAAGAAATGACGTCAACATTTATTAATCGCGCGCGTGGTGACGCGCCAGACATCCATCCGACCAATCGCCCAGCTGGCCGTCCCCGGACACACCCAGCCCCGAAGAAGCGACGAAAAAGACGAAGAAGCAAGGGTACTGATGCAATTTTCCACCGATCCCGATTTCCCGTAAGTGGCCCAATCTTCCCAGCTTAGGACCCCTCGTTGCAACCGCGCAGAAACTCGCGCGTTACAGAAAGTGGTTCGTCACATCCAAGCCTAAGAAGTGTAGCTGCAAAGTTCTATGGTTTGCGAACTAACCCATGTGCAACTGATGGGTCGCCTAAGAGTAAGAAACCTGTCATAAAAGGTTGACCCAACATTCTTCATAAACCACCAGTACTTCATAGAGTCGTGCCCCGTTAACGCGCCACGATTTTAGGAAACGTACGGGCCACTACAGGAGGGCCCAAATTCATCCGACCAGAAACGTTTCTACTCCTTTTTTTTCCGGGGCCGATAGCTGGGCCAAGTACTGGTGGTTTAAACCACCAGTATGAGGCAATTTCCTCCAAGGCTGGAAACGCGCTGCGCACCAAAACAAAATGAATCGGCGCGTGCCTCCTTTTTGCTGGTGCCGCCAGCCATTTTGCTTCCGCAGGCCAAGCCCTGACAGTTGCAGCTGCATGCACACCGCATATTTCATTCTTTGGCTGGGAAACGTACTGGGCTGAGGACCAAGTACCGCACCACCTTAAAACAAAAAAAAAATCAATGCGTCCTGATCCCGCTGCTCTTCTCAGGCCACACCATTTGCCTTTGCAACGTGGTGTGGCACTTGTCCTCAGGACGATACACGACTTCAATTCCTATCCAGCGGTTCCACAGAAAAAGGTGGTAATAGCGCGACGACCCAGTTAGTCCATAGAAATTTCAAGGAGATCTGGGAAGACGGAGAACTAACCTTCAGTACAATCCAGGACTTTAATTCCTATTCAGCAGTTCCGCAGAAAAATGTGGTAATAAAGTGTTGTCTGCATAGGATCTATCAGATGACATCAGATATTGAACTAACCGGACTGGGGTGGGTCTTCTAGAGATGGGAAGTAAGCTCCAAGAGAAAAAAAGAGAAACATCATAGCCAGGCTATGGTGTTCAGGCCATCGGCCCCTACAGGCGATGGTTTCTGGCTTCCCTCTACCGGTTTCGGCTAGTGCCAGAATTTAGCCTCATCAGGAGGTTTAGTATTTATTAGGTAGACATTTACTTAACCACGGTCACCTCAGAGGTGACTTGAAAGTTGAAATGTGAGGCCCTGGGTGTGACCCTACAAACTGCCCGACAGGCGGAGGTCCTGACACCCGGCCCTCCTCACCTGAGATGTAAAGGCGGGTGAGTGTAGGGTCTTCCTTATGGGCTGTGGAACGAAAAAAAAGTTAGGGTAAATTAATCACCCTCGCCCAGTTAGGGCGCCCTCACAATGTAAGGATTCGTAAGTGGTGTGGAATGAGGCCCTTGTGCTTACCTGACATCTGCAAAACGCATGAAATCAATGCCTTTGCAATTTTCGCATGCAGTGAAGGCATTGCATTGCTTGTCCATCCCCCTCACAATCATGTTGTGAAGTGTCATAATTCCCCCCCAACAGGTAAACAGCACCTAATTCTCCTCCCCTCTTCTTTATGGCCTCGTGGGTCCTCTCTCCGTTCGCCACATTGTCAATCTCTTTGCCCACATCATTATTATTTTATTATTTTATTATTTTATTATTCTATTATCTTATCATTTTATTATTCTGTTATTATTTTGTTATTTTATTATTATTTTATGATTATTTAATAGAAGGGTGATTCCCTTGAGCTATCATCATCAAACTGACCAGCCCCAAGTAATTTAGGATTCGAACTCAGATCTGTTTATCGATAGTTCATGGGTGTACCATTCAGTCGTGCGCAGTTGGTACATCATTATTTGTAGAAGGAAGTTGCCTGTTTGGCCCTTTGCTATGCCGAGAAGACACGATCGTGTTGCTTATCCAGACCCCTTACTCCTGTCATCATCCAAAGCATACCCCTGCAAACAAACCAAATGATATCTCATTCTCTCTTACCCCCTTGTTTTCAGCCACCACAGGCCAAATGACCCTCTGCTTTGGGGGCACAAGCAACATGATTATTTTTATTTGTGGTGCAGGAAGTCATGGGTTTGGCACTTTGGCGGCTTCGGCGGCCTTGCATATGAAAAAGGCATTGCAATGATTGCATTGCTTTCCAGTCCCCACACTTCTGTCACTGTGCACAGCCTTGCGGACTTTTTTCTTTTGAAACAAGCATGGGCGCAGCAGGTTTTGAGTTCGCAAAGGCAAAAAAAACACGCACCCACAAAGATATCATGCATGAGTTTGGAGCGGCAATTTTGGTAGAAAAGGATTCGATGGGCCTTTTCCCCCCCCCGCCTGATACCACGGCCGACCACTGTAGTTATGACACCCGTGCCTTTGTCATGAGCTAAGCATCATCGGCTTGGTCAGCCTTTACCTACACTTTCATTGTGTTTTCGAACTCAGCAGCTGTGACACTTTCACTCGGCGGCTGTTTCCTTTGTGGGATCATGTTTTTTTGCACATTCGAAACTCGAAAGTGACATCAACGTACTAGCCCCTGTTGCTTGGGCTGGTAGGAAAAGCGGCAGGAGCAGCTGCAGGCTCACGAGCCTTGGAAGGTAGCTTCAGCAACTTAGCCTTGTGTGAACTGGCAGTTTAAACCACCACGACCCCTGCCGTCCTAAATTGGGGGGGACTGGTAGCAGAGGTTCACTAAATTGGGGGGGACTGGTAGCAGAGGTTCACTAAATTGGGGGGGACTGGTAGCAGAGGTTCATGAGGACTACCGGTGGCACAGTGGGGAGAACTGGCCGAGTGGCAAAAATGGAAAATTCATCGAATTGCCGCTGCGATTTATTTCGCGGTTGAAAGTTGAAACAAATTTTTTATTTTGATTAAATATTTTCCTGGACGGATCACGGCCAAATCTACAGACCGTCCAATTTTCAGAGCTTTTGCGTCATTCTCCTGAGCGCAAAAAATCGCAGAAGTTGGGGTACTTTTCCGTCGGCCCAAAAGTGGTCGAGTGGCGAGATTGGAAAATGCAATGAATCGGCGCAGCACTTATTTGGCGGGCTAAACTTTTTTTTTTTTTTGTTCTTATCTTTTTCCTGGATAGATCACAACCTGATCTACATGATCGTCAATTTTCAGATTTTTTCGTCCATTCTTCTAAGCGTGAAAAATTGCCGAAGTTGGAGCTTGAAAATTGCGAGACTGGCCCCGCCTGTGTGGACTGGTTGTCATTTGATTTATCAGGTGCAGTAGGTAGCAATTCTTTCTTACTAAACAAGCCTGCCATTTTCCACGGCCCTGACTCTCCGGGAATCCTGCTTTAAGTTGAATTTGCTTTTCTAGGTTCACAACCATTCAAAAAAAAAAAAAAAAGCCCACATATGGAGTTCAAAAAAAAAAAAAAAAAAAAAAAAAAAAGGCTGGCAGAGGTAGCGGTGGTTTAAGGGGGAAGAGGAGCGTTGTAGCCCCTAAGACTGTTGTATCCATTTTATTCCACAAATGGATTTGAAGTTTGAACTCATGATCTGTTCATTAAACCACCGGTGCTTGGCCCAGCTATCGATGCCGAGCTTGGAGTGCCCTTGCACGCCAATTTTTGACTAAGCGCCGGGGTACCGTTTCAATTTTTCTTTGGCTGGCGCTTCCAGCCATTGTGGTCCGGTACCCCAAAGCCCGGAAGTTGAGGGCAGTTAATGCGGCCGATGTATGGGCCAAGTACTGGTGGTTTAACAGTTACATGTATACACAACTCAGCCACATGGGTGGGCTGGGTATCCATAGCCCTGTGGACGGTTTTGAATTCGCCTACCCTTTCTTCTTTTGGCCACATGATTGTGGGCAAGTTCAAAAAATAGCGCGCTTGCGGTACTTACTAATCAACATGTGTTTTAGGGCATCAGGCCGTGCCATGCATGCACAGCCTCGAACCGGCACCCTCGGCAACAAGAACGAAGTCTCGTAGTCACTACAACCCTTGGAGGTGTTATCAAGCTGGATCCATACCAGCCATGATATCCAGCCCACCCCCAGGGCTGTAGCGTCCTTGAACTCACACCAGACACACAACACCACACCACGGACATGACAGTCAACACACACTCTGCTCGGACAACACGTGACCCACCACCGCTACTTAACCCCGTCACTCCAAGGCGGGCCAACTTGCCCGTGGGTTCCACTGGCGCCTCACAGTAGTTACTGATCAAAGTGCGTTTTAGGGCATCCGGCCCTGCCATGCACGCACAGCCTCAAACCAGCACCCTCAGCCACAAGAACGAAGTCTTGTAACCACTACAACCCTTGGAGGTGTTATAAAACTGGATCCATACCGGTTGTGATATTCAGCCCCCACCCCTAGGGCTGTACTGTGTTCGCAGTAGTTTCACAGCAAAAATAGTGGCAGGGTCCAAGTTTCGTTGCGAAAATACATCTTTCGTTGCAGCTTTACAGATCCCGGTAGTTTCACAGCAAAAATATTTGCGGGCAGGGTCCCACCATCGATGCAAAAATACATATTTCAGACCCCGATAACATTTCCGCCGGGAAACTTGGAAAACACTCTATTTCTGCAGTTACCCCCATGATTATTTGTAGAGGAGGAAGTTATGCCTTTGCATACAGAAAAGGAGTAGGTCCTCTTGCCAAGATGCAAGGATTTCATCGACGCTTCTCCCATCATCTATGGCCTTGCGAATGTTCTCCGAGCCCGTCAGGTAATCGATCCAGAACTTTCCCCCATCTTTCCTCCATGCGAATCGATCTGGGTATAACTTTCGCAGGATTACAAGGAGAGTGATTCCAATGCGGATGGGGTCGATTGTTGTAGGGTTGGCGACATGAACCTGCATGCCGGACACCATCTTGCCGGCGTGCTTGCTGAAAGTTGGCGTAAAGACAGCTTCCCTGAAAAGGACTCCATCGTTGTCGGCGAATTCCTGTTGCATCGCAATTACTAACTGCCGGTCAATCCACGGCGAACCGATCATCTCGAACGGAAGCGTGGTTCCTCTCCCTTCAGAGCAGTTGGTCCCCTCAATGAGACCCATTCCAGGATAGAGCAACGCGGTCGTCGGCGACGGCATGTTCGGCGATGGTGGCACCCAAATTAAGCCCGTATCGCCATAAAGGTGACACCTTTTCCAGCCCACCATTCTCACAACTTCCAAATCTACCCGTTTCCCCCCAGATTCACCGTCAACGGGAACAAACTCGGAGTTGAAGAGAATCGCGAGTTCGCCGACGGTCATGCCATGTTGCAAAGCAATCGCCTTTCTTCCGACAAACGAACCGAGTTCTGGCCGCAACACCGGCCCCGCAGTGATGGATCCACCAAGAGGATTCGGTCGATCGGCAACAACCAGGCGAAGGTGCCGACTTGTGCAGCTTGCAATCGCCACCATAGAATCGTACAGCGTCCACACGTATGTATAGAATCGAGCGCCCACGTCTTGAATGTCAAAAAGGATGATGTCCACCCCAGCGTTGAGAAAAATGTTCAGCAAGTCCTTGGCTTTCTTAGCATGGATATCGAAAACCGGAAGCTTTGTTGCCGGATCTGTGTACGCACCCGGCGACGATCCGGCCTGGCTGCAACCTCGGAACCCGTGCTCAGGGCCAAAAATAGCACACAGATCTACTGTTGTCTCGTGGAACAAGACATCGACCAAATGCCTCATGTCCGGAAACACGCTAGTCGCATTGGCAATGATTCCAACTTTCCCACCTTGGAGGAGTCGAAACCCATCTTCTGAGATCACCTCGATCCCCGTTTTGACAGGCGTTCGCACACCAACTTTGCCTCCATCTCCACTTGGACCAAACAAGCCCTTCAGCACTTTCATCGTTACCTCCTTCCCATCAACCCAAGATAATGACAGGCTGCATAATTCACAAAAAAAATCCAATCTTTCAAGAATCTGATGGCAAAACAAAACAAAACAAAACAAAAAGACTCCTCACACAATGCGGGTGGAGTTTCTGTTTTGCTGCAGATTAGCATTCCGAGATCTATCATGACCTCTCTCTCTCTCTCTCTCTCTCTCTCTCTCTCTCTCTCTCTCTCTCTCTCTCTGTGTGTGTGTGTGTGTGTGTGTGTGTGTGTGGAATATATATATAAAAGTAACAACACAACTCCCACCTATTCCCATTTTTCCGCTGGGAGAGTCAAAGCCCCTGCTGCTCACCAGAGACAGCTTGCCTTTCTTCTTATGGTGGCGACACTCACAAACGGTCCCAACTGGCCCAACTGGCCGACCTTCTTCACCCGAATACAACATACACATACGCTCACTATTGCCTTATCCAGACTCAAAGTTCCCCCAAATGCAGCTATAAGGACAGCAGGTTGTATTTCAGTGAAGGACACGGGTAGCTCAGTTGGCACACCCATGGACTGTTGAAACACAGACCCCCATGCAGTATTGAAACACAGACCTCAATTCCAACGGAAGCAGATGAGTAAAAATAAGATTCAAATAACTTATTTTCTTTGCTTTGAACAGAAACATCATCTGTCTCCCATTCCCAATTTCCCAGGGGGCGAGATAGGAGCCGCCACCCAGGGGGTGGTGTCCCCACTGTTTTATGGCTCCAGTCTATTAGTGGGGAGCATCACTTGCTGGAAAACGGATCCCTCGTCCTTTATTATTATTTTTTCTTTTCCATAGATACAGTGATACACTAACAAATATATAAAATAATAGATCAATACAATTTCTCAACACGGCAGATCCCTCGCCCCTGTTAAAGCGCCAACAGCCATGTGGAATGTCTCTCTCTCTCTCTCTCTCTCTCTCTCTCTCTCTCTCTCTCTCTCTCTCTCTCTCTTTTCTTTTCTTTTCTTTCTTGTTTTTTTGGTTCCCCTCAGAAGGTCCCTGCCCCCCCTTCCTCTCGTCAATGTCCCCAGCCTCCCCCCCCCCCGTCCTACCCTGGTGTTACCCACCTGAGACTACCACCCATCAGCAGGTGGTACTCCCCACCAATAGATTGGAGTCACATGCAAGGATAGCTAGGGGTATATGCTTTCTGTAGCGGACCTCTGGTTGGCCTGTGAGACCAGGCCCTTGGCCTGTTCTCACAGGCCTGTGTTGTACTCGGGGTAGTCCAGTCCAGTCCCGTCAGTCCGCTGGGGTATACCCCAGCTGCTGTCTGTTTTCCGGATCATTCTACATTCGCACACTTTGGAGTACGTGCGTTGGAGTCTAGCGTGGGAGATGCGCTATGCTATCTCGCTCCACCTTCTTCCTCCATCTCCATCTCTATCCCAGGTGGAGCACCACACTTGGTGGGTCCGCCACACTTTTACCATTACCCCTAGCTGTGCCTTGTAAGTGTTTAAAAAAAAAAAAAAAAAAAAAGGGTGACCTGACCAGACAGCGGTGGCAGGCACCCGGGCTGAGATTAATGGGTAACTCTCTCTCCATCTCTTATATCACTCACACACGAACACCCCCTACTCAGAGACTTACAGGTACGCCGCACTCCACATCACTCTTACACAGGGATACTCTTTATTTACCTGGGGCTGGTCAGTTCAATGACTATACATCTCAAGGCCGTTGCCCTTTCAAAAAAGAAAAGGGGGGGGGAAAGGGGGGAGAAGGTGCTCACAA